CTCTAGGGCTTTAGATAAGGTGTCAGCTGTTGTGAGGCTCACCCTGGGGCTGCAGGAGCTGGCAGCACTGCTCCCCTGGGGTTCCCAGCCCACTGCAGAGCCAGCAGTGGCATGCCAGGTTTGGTTCCAGCCCCAGCTGGACTGTAGTCTGCCCTCCCCTCCCTGCTGTTTGCAGGGACGTGGCTCATTACCCAGGAGATAATAACCAGGAATAACAAACTCCTGGTAAGCTGCATGTGGAGCAGAGCTGGGGAGGAGCAGTGCTATGGCTGAGGGCTGCTGAGCAGGAAGTTTGGTAAACTGAGAAAAATCTCTCTTCAGAGGAATTCTTTGGTTCTCAGACGTTACATCTGTCCCTGCTGGACTGGACGGATGAAATTGCAGCTAAATGATGGTGCAACTTTTCTTTTTCATCTTTTTTTTTTTTTTTCTTCTTCTTTCTTTTTGGCAGCATCCTTCCGTTTCCTAATTGTTCACCACAAGTTCTATGTGAATAGGAAGCCTGAAAATAATTCTCATGAGTATTCAGTTTGAACATCTGGTATCATCATGACTGTAACTGGTATAATGAGCTCCTCTGCACTGAGCATAGGCTGCATGGGGAGCAAAGGACTTTGAAGCAACTGCACCTGAATAAAGCAGGTTTTGTAGAAGAGTAAATCTCCCTCTCAGTGTGTGGGCCCTGACTCCCACTAACATTAAAGACAATAACCTCTGCTCATATGGCATAATTACTGTCGTTAGAGTTTAAATTTGCAAGTACTGAGACATTCAAATGAAGTCTGCCTGCCATTAGGAAAAAAATGTGGAAACTGCTTCATTGTTTGGTTACATTATTTCTGAAGGGGAAAGAAAGAACTGTTCATGGCTAGGTTAGCTGGTTATCACCCCAAATTATTTAGTTTTATATCCTACTAGTTCTGTTTTCAGAGTTTATTCAGGCTAGTTAGGTAGCTGCTTTCAAGCTTTAACCAAAGGATGTTTTTTTAAAAAAAAAAAGTCAGGTGAAATAGTTTTCCCTACTTTAAAGAAGCAGCTGTGTCTTGCTGGATGGCTTTTATTTTACATTGTAAATGTTCTGCAACAGAAATGATGCAAAAAATTTCCATAATAACAGCCATCTTTTTGACAGTTTTTGATGCTTTTCTTGTTACTGTTATCAAAAGAAGCATTATTATTATTTAAAACCTTATTTTCAAGTCAGGAAATTAGGATAATGGCATTGGTAGAGCTGAGATGGCAGGAAGGTTTGAGGATATGCTCTTCATCTGTTCTCACCCACGTCCCTGTGCTGATATATTGGCTGAAGTTCCAAATCCTGAGAAACTCGGCTGAAGATGTTAGACCAAGAGTCTGGAGGTAGATGAATAAGCACAGAGGTTTTAAATTTTATGGTCTATTTCTATACAGGAATAGAAGGATCTGTTAAAAAACATCTATAGAAGTTGTTCTGCTAGGAGGAACAAAGGGAAACCTGCACTCTGGAGTTTATGAGAGGGGTTTCTGTCGTGGTCATTGGTGTTTCCTCATTTGTTTTTCAGGTACTGCTTAGGGAATGCCTTAGACATGTGAGGTAACCTGCTGCCTATGGATTTCAGCTCTGTGAATTATTAGTCTGCCATTAATGTTAACTGTAATGTTAGTTGGGAATTATCTAATGAGAAACACTCATTAGAATTGGCATTGGAATGGGTAGAAAATCTTGAATTCTGCCTAATTTCCTCAATAAAGAGGAACATTCAGAGATGTGGGGTGTTCACTGCTGCCCACTGTGACCTGCTGTGAGTCACAGAACACCACAGTTACCCTGTGTCACCTGGGAAGACTCACTCTGTGCTGGCTCCAGTGGGCAATATTAAGTATTAAATTAAAAGCAGTCACAGAGTAGCACCTGAAAGTAAAAAGTACAGATCAGTACCAGTACCACTGCTATAAAATGCAGATCCCCCTTTCCCTCCAAGTTATCATTTTCATTTAGTATTTAATTAAGTACCTTTCTTCATATAATAAGTAATAAATTACATATTATTGTATGTAATTATTAGAAGTGAAATATAATTAAAAATAAATTTTAATTATAGAAGGTTAAGGTTTTTTTAAAAGTTAGAAGGTTTTTTGTATGACATCTTTTTAAATCAATGGAGACAAGAGATCTGAATCCAGAATTATTTTAATCCTAGTGCACTAAAATATAAATGTCTCCTAGTTACATTAGGTCAACACAAAGAATGCTTCTGATTTAGTTTAAGACAGTTTAAAACAAACACAGCCTTTGTCTTCTGGTGTCTGCAGTCTGGAGTGACAGAGCACCTGTCCTTGGGTGGGATTTCTTGGTAGTGCTGCAACATAATTCTTGTCATATAGGTTTTAATGCAGGATACTAAATATACTTTTTAAATAATTAAATATTATAATGGCATTTAGGGACACAGCTCTCATTTTTTTGGCAGTAAGCAAGCTGCATTGTGTTTCTACAGGAAAAATGGGCAGTTACCTGCACTGCTTATAGGTGCTGTGAGTGGTTGCATTGAGCTGAGTTACTCTCCAGACTCTGATGGGTTCTTCACCCCCAGATTGCTTACTCTGGCAGCATGTCACAGCCCCTCCCTTGCCCCCAGCCTGCTGCCCCTGCAGGACACTTCCCATGCTGTCCCCAGCCCCCTGCAGTGGCCTGAACTCAGCGAGGAGGACAAAAGGAGAAGCTCTCCAGCTGGGCTGTGGTGTTACCCAGAAAATACCCAAGAGCAGCCTGTCCAAGCAGTGCAGCCTGAACCTTGGCTGAATCCCCACGTTTCAGTGGGGCTGGTGGTTAACAAGTGCTCTCACACCCCATTGGTACAGCAGTTCCCAGAGCTTTGTTAAGAGCTCGAGCAGGTGATGGACAGCAGGTGAGTTACTGGTCCCAGGCCACTAAAAACCTGAGTATGCCCGTGGTGATTTCCTTTCAGAGAGCAGAAGGGTGAGGGATTTCTAGCAACCATTGTGTACTACATTTTTTTTTTAAAAAAAAAAAAAAGCTCCAATTGTGGGAGAGTCTAATGGGTAGCAGTAAGAGAATATAAATGACAGAAAGACTTTTTGCCAAGGCCTGTAGTGACAGGACAAGGGGCAACAGTTTTAAACTGAACAGGCTGCCCAGAGAACTTGTGGGTGCCCCAGCACTGGCAGTGCTCAGGGTCAGGTTGGATGTGGCTTTGAGCAACCTGGTGTGGTGACAGATGTCCCTGCCCGTGGCAGGGGGGGTTGGACTAAATGACCTTTAAGGGTCTCACCCAACCCAAACCATTGAATTTTGACTCGAGTTTTTCCTAGACTGAGGTTTTTATTTGCTTGGCCTCTTTTTTTCCTTTTTTTTCCCCCCCATTTCTTTTATTATAGCTGCTCTTATTTGCCCATTGGACTCATCACTGCAATTTCTTGAGGGTAAATTTTGCCATGGAAGGATGATTACATGCTTTTCAGAACAATTTAATTTGATGTAACAATACAGTAACTGTTGCTAAATCTTCCAGAGAGAATTTTGTTTTTCTGTGGAATATCCAAATGAAGCCCAATAACCAACCCAAGTCTCTGTTTGAATAGGAGCTCACTGTACTTTATTTTCAAAACACATTTGTACTATTTACGATTAGTAAAAATCATCTGAGGAAAAGGTAGGTTTGCCCTACCAAAGATAAAATATTTTCATTGGTAATGAAATATTGTGACATTCTAAGTGCTGAAATAATTTCATGAATGTGTTGAATCATTTTATCATGGGCAACAGGGGACTTCATCTGTGGAAGGTCTAGTGGAGACAGCTAACATTAAATGCAGTTAATATACAATTTCCTATCATTTGGAGTTTAACCATATTGCTATTGTAGGTGGGCAAGAAAGAATTCTGTGATATCAAGCCTGAAATCATTTAATCAGGAATGTAAATCAGTTATGTGCTTCAGTTACCAAATGTTGATAGAATTGGCTATGGGAGATTGTTGTTTTTTAATTACAGCTGCTCTGTAATGTTGTGTCACCAAGTTCCAAGAAGGAAAATGGTGTAGGATGGCAGCTGGCTATGCCCAGTGCCACTGCCAAAAGTGCCACCAGGAGTGGGTTCTGCTGCAGGGTGCTCACCACATCCCTGAAGTGAGGAGTGCCACCCTTCCCTATATGTATTTATGTTCAGAGATTTTATTTAAATAATGTCCCCAGCACATGCTTTATAGCCTTCTGCCTTTTGCTACACAAATTTCAGCTTATATTGCAGACTGTGCAAGTCATTTGGCAAATGTAATTTCCATCCCTGCATACTAATCGATTCCTTCACAAACACCTGCTATCAGTTATGATAATAAAACTGCCATTCTAAATTGAAAAGGGGCCAAATGGAGCTTCCTAAGGAAATGACTTAAGTGTCTTTCAATGTCTTTAATGTTGGAATGTTCTTGTAGTGCCAACACTTTTTTTTGAGCATTTGCATTTTATATATTTTTTCTGTCTAAAGGGTTCCTCATAACCATTGCTACGAAGTAGTTCATAGGGAGATCAGAGAGGAATTTCTCTGTCTCTTATGGGACTAAACTGGGCAACTTTATGTAGTCCAAATTCCTTAGCACAGCTCTGATGGGAACATCTGGCTGCTGCACTGGTGTAAATACTGAACAGCTGCATCAGTTCCTAGAACAGCACTGGGAAGATATTGTAAAGTTGGTTGGTGCTTTGCCCTCAGACTACATGCCAATTTCTTCCTAAAATATAAACCTGACTTTAGCAGCCAGATTTCAAGCAGAGTTTGAATTATCCAGGGTGGCTTTATGGCTCCTTCCATCCCAGGAAATAACTTCCCAGCGACGGTCCTTGCCAGAACCTCATCATTTTCAGCTCTGCTGGTCTTGTCTCAGCTCCTAAATGTCTCCCTGGCTTTCAGCTGTATTGTCATCTCCCCTGACAATGCCCTCTGCATTATTTGTAAGGCAACAATCCATTTTACTGATTTCTCTGTATTTCCCTTCGTGTAGCTCTGGCCGCCCAAGCGTACGCGCTGAAGGAGGAGAACGACAGTCTCCGGTGGCAGCTGGATGCTTACAGGAACGAGGTGGAGCTCCTCAAGCAGGAGAAAGGACAGCTGTTCCGAGCAGAAGAAAGCCTTACCAAGGACCAGCAGCTGCAGTTCCTGCAGCAGACCATGCAAGGCATGCAGCAGGTATTGCCATGGGAGGAAAGCGTGAGCCGCCCTTTTTGGGGAGGTGGTGCCGTGAGGCTGTGCCGGACTCAAGCCACCAGGGTGTTTGCAGAGTCCAGATCTTACAGATTTTAGAGGGGGGG